GGCACCTGGAGCCTCTGGGCTATCCAAAGATACTTCCTTGTAAACTGTACTCCAAGGACGACTATTTACAATGAACATTTGGACTAAATGGCCTGTGCACTGTAGCCCACAGCGAAAGGTGAGGGGAAGGAGTGGGGGATGAAGGCCGTTTGAAACAGTGACTTCGCTGGGAAAGCTGGTGCTTTTGAGAAGGAGCGCAGGATTGATTCCACACTGCAAAAGCACACAGAAGCAATGTTTTTCTGGCAGGATTCATCCCAATGTTCCCAACCGCCCCCATGGCGGCGTGGGTCAGGGCATGCCTGGGCCTCCCAGCGACCTGCCCCTAGGTCTTCTGCTCCAAACTCTTCAGCGACACGGAAGAAGGGGTGAGCCGCCCGCTGATCAAATTCGCAGGCAATACTAAAACCGGGGCAGTGGCCACAACTGAGGAGCAGGTACTCCAGCTCCAAAAGGATCTGGACAGACTGTGGAAGTCGGCAGAGGACACCACGCTGGCATTCCATGGGGAGAAGTGCAAGGTCTCGCACTTGGGGCATAGGAATGGGGGTCATGGGTACAGGTGAGGGGCCAAGTGGCTGGAGAGCAGCGCTTGTGAAAGGGACCTCAGGGTGCTGGTCGACTGCAGGCTGAACGTGAGCCAGCCGTGTGATGCGGTGGCCAAGAGGGCGAACACCACCCTTGTTTGCATAGCCAGAAGCATGGCTTCTAGATCGAGAGAGGTATTACCACCACTCTATACGACGCTGGTGCACCCGCAACTGGAGTACTGTGCTCAGTTCTGGGCCCCTCATTACAGGAGGGATATAGCCAGGTTGGAGTCAGTGCAGCGAAGGGCCGCAAGGTTGGTGGCCGGTTTGCAGGGGATGGGGTATGAGGCGAGACTGAGGGAACTGGGTCTCTTCCGGCTGGAGAAGAGGAGACTCAGAGGGGATATGTTGGCGACATACAGGTACGTGAGGGGGCGTCACACAGAGGTGGGGAGAGGCCTGTTCTCCCCTGCAGAGGAAGGCAGGACGCGCTCCAACAGAGCAAAGCTCAGGGAGCCAAGGTTCAAGGTGGAGGCCAGGAAGCGCTTCCTGACAGTCAGGACCCCCAGGGTGTGGAATGGGCTTCCACGGGAGGTCGTGGAGGCCCCATCGGTGCAAGGATAGGCTGGACGTCCACATGGTGGGCATGTCGTGAGCGGAGCCGGCTGGAGCCGGGGTCAGACTAGATGGCCCGGGAGGCCCCTTCTGACTCACTCTGTTTCTTTAAAAAGAAACCGCCTCCCCTTCCAGGGTCTTTGCTCTTCATCCTCCCTTCCTCAGACTCCTCTTCTGTGGCTGCAGCTTCTCGATGCCCTTCGTGCTCCTGGGCGACTTGCAGCTGCCTAGCAAATGAGGTGCCCGAAACACTTTGGGTGCTCCGAGCGGGGCCACCGGCCGCTCTGGCAGGGCTACCAGCTTGCAGGTGTGGCATGTACAGGCCGTGGTCCAGGAACCTCTTCAGCTCTGGTTTGTCTTCTCTCTGGACAATCTTGCTGTGCCTCCAGGGTTGCAGCCCCAAGGGAAGTGTGTCCTAATCCTGCGCGGAGGCAGATGAGGTGCACAGAGGGGCCTGCTGTGCTGTGCTCCACAGGGGCTGGTGCTGGTGCTGGTGGGGAGTGGGAGGGGGCAGCCGGGAGGAGAGAAGGCACCAGGCAAGTCTGGACTTGTGGGTCTTCTACTGTCCCCCATGGTGGGGGAGTGGCGCCCCGTCCTCTCCCCACAGTNCTCTGCCCGTGTCAGAGTGCCAAGACCATTCCCATATGGGTCCAATCGCAGATATTCTGCAAATGATCACGGTGGGCAACCTAATGGACACTGAAAATACCAGCACTTGCTCCAGGTTAGTAAACAGTCCCAAGAGGATCACGGAAGAACTGGAAAGCCAGGCACACCTTCGTTCAGGGCAGTTGCTTTCGTGTCAAAGGGATTTGTGGGTAGGGAGTTCCAGCCCAGCCCCGAGAAAGACCAGCAAAGCTCACCACTGAGTGTTTGCAAATGATGTCCTGGTAATGATAAAGGACAGCCACATCCCCTGCAGCGAGCTGAACTTGCATCCTTAACCTATGCTCAGAAACTCACCAAAGCATGAAGAACAACCACACACGGAAGCGAGAGTGTGCAGACAGCAAAGACTTCCCTTTCTTGCCTGAAAAGAGGTTCTTGTACTGGTTCCCCTTGCAATTGTACCACAGTGAGTAACTACCACTATAACCAACACCGCAATAATAGGTGGCCTCATCCTCCGCCTGGACACCGGTGATGGTCAGATAACGCTCACGGCCTGATTTGGAGCCGGAGAAGCGATCCGGGATCCCGCTGGGTCTGGTGGTGTCACTGTACAGCAAAAGCCGAGGCACCTGCCCATCTCTCTGTTGGTACCATCCAATAGCGTAGTTCGCGTGCTCGCTGCTCAGGCTGCAGGAGAATCTGGCTGTGCCGCCGAGAGCGGCTGACGGGGGAGGACCCGGCGTCAGCACAGGCTGGGAGCTGATGCCTGGGGACAAAGATGGTGGTTAACAGAGGCTGGCTGTGCAGCAGAGACGATGGGATGAAAAGTCAGAAGGAGGGAGAGTTGGGGAGAGGGAGAGAGATCATCCTCCAGTCTATTCCCAAGTGTGAGTTTAGAACATTTGCCCCTCACCCGAGCAGTAAATGAGAAGGGCGAGGAGGAGAAGCACCCAAGACATGATGGGAATTTGAGCGGCCTGGACTCCTGGAGCTCAGCGTAGTTCTGGTGCGCATCCTCTCTCCAGTCTTAAACCGCTCCAGGAATTTTGGTCCATCCCAGCATGCAAATAGCCATTTGCTC